TCTGTATTTTATTTATTAATGCATTTTTAATAATATATGGTTAATAAGGATCTATTTTAAGCTTACAAACAAATAAATTTTAGTTTTTAATATAGTACAGAAAAAAGTAATCTAAATTTACGAATGCATGTACTGTAAATACAGTACATACTTGTAAATGTATATATTTTAGTATGATTTTATGTGCTTTAAACATTTTTCTAGTGATATTACGACTTCAATATTTGTGGCGGACAGACGTAAAGTCGAATAAAATGACTTAAACTTGATTTTTATTTTTCCATATACTTTTTTGACAAACGACGTATAATCGGAAACGACGTAAGTCGAGGTATACCTGTATTTGTTTATCAGGTGTTGCACCAATTATTTAAGAAGTGTATGATTTTCTATATTTAAAATACATTACAACTTGTTCAACTTGGAATGTGAATAAAATGAAAACTTGTTTATTTTGAAAATTATTGGTCCTAGTAAAAATCTGTATATTAATTGAAAGAGAGATTTAGTTTGAGTAAGTGATAGGCTGAAAAGGGATTTGCAATGCTTCAATCATTATACCTTTCTCAACGTGGCAAATGAAGAATATTAAGTGTATGGGACAAACATATCAGGGTCCTACTCCCTATTAACTGAGTCTTTTTTTTTTTTTTGTGTTTTACAGTTTTATTATTGTATATACTGAGGTCAATAAGTATATAATTTAGTTATTATAGCACTGTTTTTATCATCCTCTCCTAACTCAACATTATATCAATTCCCCACTCCCTCAAAACCTCAATCAATGCCAGCCACATACAGCTAATAAGCCTTTCTTTTAATATTTTGTTTTATACAAAATTAATACCTTAAAATATTAATCTTAAAGATGAATTTTTAATTTAGTAAATTCTTTAAAAAATATTTTATTTTGGTTTGAATCTAGTTTAATTTTATTTTCTGTTGCATTTAATGATAATTTAATTTATTTTTATTTTATTGTCTTGTGGTGTTTAAAACACGAGCAGTTATTTATTGTGACATTGTCATAATCGCAGGCTGCAATTTTTAATAATTTTTATTTAAAATATATGCTCTCCACCTCAAATTAGTAATGGCTTGCCCTGTACATCATACTTTTCCTTTAACAATAGAATTGTGCTGGTCATTAACTGCTTTCAGGGGAAGTTTTGAAACAATGTGACTTCCAGTTTGCATTGGAAGTTCGTATATAGTTAATTGGATCCTAAAGGGTAAAATATAGTTAATTGGATCCTATCCTAATTGGATGTCCCTAAGGTTTCCATATCTGGCTTCATCTTTCATCTATCTAACTCCGTTCTCAACATTAAGGAAAGACAGGCGGATGACAGTGGGAATCTATAGGTCTACAATTTTTTCAAACTGCAGCCCAATAACAGTGTTCTACAATTCAATTCATACAAATGACTATTACTTCATAAATCATCAATATTTCTCTTCAGTTGCCAATGCTTAACTTTTTATTTTCTCATCTTATATGCTTTCTGCTCTCATGTTCTGTAGCAGCCATATTGGATTTGTCATCATAACAGAGTATGATGTCTCATAAAAACAAAATAATTGAAAGTTTGTTTTATTATTGTTTTTACTAAAAACATACTTATTATCATTTTAATTAATGGGATAAAATATGCATGAAGTACAAAATAGTTAAGAAAAAACAAGTTGCCTGCCAGACAACTTTGAAAGTATATTTCAGCAATTCTCAAAGTGGGCAATAACGCCCCCTTGTAGGTGATGAGTAAATCTAGGGGGCGCTGGAGGCAGGGTATTGAACGGTGACCAAAGGAAAAATTGGGGTCAGTGAAAGCTGTTCCCTTTCTTCTATTAAACTGATAAAAGGAAACATTGCATTTAATGGTTTCCAGATGTTGAGAACAATGTACGGTAAGGGCACAAAGTGCGAGATTCATAGAAAAGTTTTCCTAAGAATGTTTCCAATCCTTTCTCACACAAGAGAAAATGGGTTAGGAGGTGTTGGGTATAACTTTATGGAACAAAGGGGGCAGTAGATCGAAAAAGTTTGGGAATCACTGGTATATTTGATAGACCAAACAACTGCTAATTTTAAACCCTGATTTTACAGAAAAAATCTTGAAATTTGGTCCAGATTGGTCAAAGGGTTTGGGACTTTGTAGGGAAAATGAAATCAACTGAAAGGAATGAGGGGTTCTTGACATGGATGTATTTTGTGACAACTGTGACTTTCTTTTAGGCATTTTATCATCAATAAGACTCATAATGCACCTGAAAAGTAACCAAAAGAACTGTAGATATCTGATAACATGAGACTGTCATTATTTAAAAATAAGAATTGTAGGATTAATACTAAAATAATGAACAGAAATATATTTTAAGCCTACTTACAAAAGTTTAGTTTCATATAAGGGAGGTAATTTCAATTCCTTACAGTTTCATCTGATAACAGTTTTATTATAAGAAATGAACAACCATGTTAAAACAATATAAACAAAGCATATACACAACTACCCAAACTGTACAAATCAAAACCAAAAATATAAGATAATAAGTTTAGAAAAGCTCACCAGATGGAGAATGGGATTGACCTTGAATGGAACAGACAAATGATGATTGCNATAAATAATTAAATTTATAATAGTCTAAACAGCCTTCCAAGTAAATGCATACTATAAGTTATAGCAACTTTAAACAAAGTCTGTACTATTTTATAAATTGGAAATCCTATCATCTATGTGATTGTTACAGAATCTTATACTGTATATTGACTTCATGTGTTGAATGTATTCTGTTGATTTTAGAAGACAAATTTATTTCCAGGTGTTCTAATTTCTTTTCTTCTTTGGGTTTTAAGATAATCTGATCAATGATCAGGTTATCTTGGATGCAAGTTGATTTGTATCTCCAGTATTTTTGCAAACATTAACATGGTAACTTCGATGCCCTTCCTTATGTTTCTCTCATGTTCTCTTATGTGTGCATTTAATGACCTGTTTGTTGCTTCTGTCTTTGTTGTTTTTATTGAAATCTTTATGTCCTGGGATTCGAGAGGAGCTCTGTTTACCCTTATCATTCTGTAATAGTTAACAGATGATGGGTTTTGTTAGGAAACTAATATACAGTCATTTGCTACAAACAATCTCTCTATATATGCTTTTGAGTGTTCAGTTATAATTAATTACTCTGGTATTACAAGGGTAGGCTGAAAAGTAATGCACAAATGCTTGTAGAACAAAAATAAATATCAAGATCGGGAAAAAAGTGCATTAAACTACAATTCTTAAGCTTCAAAATCATATATTTATTTTTCAACAGTCACCATTAAGGCTAACACATTTCTCCCAATGTGTAACAAATTTTTTTCATTCCGTCACTGAAAAATTCTTCTGACTTTTCTCGAATCCAGGACTTGACAGCTGCCTTCACCTCATTGTCTGAGGTGTAATGATTACCTTGAGGTCTCTCCTGAGTAGAGGGAAAAAAATAAAAATCACAAGGTGCAAGATCGGGGGAATAAGGAGGGCATAGAATCAGTTCAAACTTCAGGTTTCGCAGAACCTCTCCAGTTGCACGCTAGGTGTGTGGATGAGCATTGTCATGTTGCAAGATTATTGGCACCAGGCTGCCTCTAACACATCAAATAATCGCCTGGTGACAATAATCTTGCAACATGACAATGCTTGTCCACATACCTAGTGCGCAACTGGAGAGGTTCTGCGAAACCTGAAGTTTGAACTGATTCTATGCCCTCCTTATTCCCCCGATCTTGGGCCTTGCGATTTTTATTTTTTTCCCCTCTACTCAGGAGAGACCTCAAGGTAATCATTACACCTCGGACAATGAGGTGAAGGTAGCTGTCAAGTCCTGGATTCGAAAAAAGTCAGAAGAATTTTTCAGTGACGGAATGAAAAAATTTGTTACACGTTGGGAGAAATGTGTTAGCCTTAATGGTGACTATGTTGAAAAATAAATATATGATTTTGAAGCTTAAGAATTGTAGTTTAATGTACTTTTTGCCCAATCTTGATATTTGCTTTTGTTCGTGTTCTACAAGCATGTGTGCATTACTTTTCAGCCTACCCTCATATTTGCTTTTAGTTTGCATTTTTGTTCAAAATCCCTGTTACTGTAATTTTTAATTAGTTCTTTGATTAACTTTGATGGGTAGTCATTCTAAATTGCAGTTTCTTTAATGTACTTTTCCTGGGAGGTCTTGATTAAACTTGAATAATGCATGAATACAAGTCTTAGTAGGTCTGTGAATGCTGAGATCTTAATGTGATAATAGTCCATATAGTCTATAACTCAAACTGAAGTTAAAAGAGCCATAAAAGGATAATTCCAGAAAAGATATCAATAACACTTGAGAATAATTATATTACCATGGAAGTATACAGGAAACCAGAACCCTTTTTTGCTTCCCGGCAGTAATAATACTGCCAGGATGCAAAAAAAGGTTTTGCTTTTCTTTCAACTGTAAGAACTCAGCATTCATCAATGTAAAAGAAGTAAAAAAATACATAAATAATTAAATTCCAATATTTTAAAATAATTAAATTAATATAAGATATTTTTGGTTTTATAGTTATGGAGTGGTACTCTGGGAACTTCTTACTGGAGAAACACCCTACAAAGGAATTGATGCTCTTGCTGTAGCGTATGGAGTAGCTGTAAATAAATTAACTCTTCCAATTCCTTCTACATGTCCAACTGCTTTCTCTAGATTAATGAAAGGTGAAATTTTTATATTATATGTAATAGAATAAAACCTTTCAAAAATACAAAATATAATATAATAATAGTAATTATGAGAATATCAAAGAAAAATATTTAATCAAATGTGTTTATCAAAGTTTGAAAAAAGATATTGATAGCACAATGATAATAGCTTGCATAAAAAATGAGAAAATCTTAGAATAGTTAAGAAATTTTGTTTGCATGAAAAGTCAGAGAATTTTGAAAATTCTTTTAAAAATTAATGAAATTTTCAATTTTTTCCATCATTGAAATTTTAGTTCTAGTACAAGGTGGCAAACCTGTGACATATTAGGAGAAATTGTCTGGCATGTAATGGATCATGCAACCTGTTTCTTTCAATTGTCCTTTTGATTTATCACTCAATCATCCTTTTTTCAATCAACTTCTTTACATTTATTCTAATTAAAGCATATTTGTTTCATTTATTTAAACATATTGTTATTTAATGTCTAAAACTTCAGAATGCATAAACATTTTTCTAGATAAGGGTGCTTAATATATGACATACAAACCCAAAAAGGTTTGCCATCTCTGGTGTAGTTCATTATCCATTTAAGTTTTTATTAAAATATGAAAAGTGTTAAATTAGTAATTGCTATTAATTCTTGTGAGTGCTTTTATTGAAGCCATTACATCATAACTAATATGATGTGATAGCTCTAATAATAAATAATGTAGTGCAATAAAATTTTATTTATTTTAAATTGTATTGTATTGTAAAAAATGAACATTTTCAGATTATTCAACACATTTTTAATAACAGTTCAATATTCTTATTTTAAAAACATAAAATAACTCTCTACTGTTTGAACCTGTTCAAACAGTAATGAGTTATTTTATGATGTTAATGGCAGTCTGATTTTATAGACAAGACTATGTCTTGTCTATAAAATCATACTGCCGTTTTATGTTACCAGCATATGAAGGAGTAAAAATGTCGAGAGTTGATATTTGGCACAGAGTATAAGGTGCCCAAATCATTTGTGCATAAAAAAATCCAGACTTGTAGGTAGTTAGGGGACTGAGAACCGAGTCAAAATAAAATCCAAAATGGTGACCCTCTTCTACAAACAGGCAAAACAGCCACCTCACCCCACCAAAGTCAGGTGGGGAGAGTACCACCCACAGTCATTCTAAGAAGTGAACTCTGACCTTAGAAGAAACTATGTGTTCAGTCCTATGTTAAATAAAATTTGTAATTTAATTTTGTAAATTTGGGAGTGCTTCAAATATGATGTTAAAACGGTTTTATGTTGTTAAAAGTGTTTTTTTTTTAACATTATCTAGTATAGTAAAATCGTGGGACAGATAAAAATTTGACGTCATATTAGGGTTGTCATTACATTCGATGACATTATAATCGGGCTAAACTGTATATTGTATGTGCAAAATAAAAAAAATAAATTCAGACGATACAATAGCCACGATTATTTTTTTCAAAAACGGGAAATTTTCGTTACACATTGACAAAAATTCAACCTGGGTCAACACGCAACAGAGAGGAATTTCGAAAATACATCGTGGACGACCTCATGGTTGTGGCCAGTGAAGTTTGAACGATCACATCCAAAAGCAGCGATACCAAAGAAGATTGGAGAATGAGAACAAGACCTGCCTTGAGCGTCAAAGTGATTCTACTTAGTAGTGAGTCTCCGAGACATAGTCTTGTCCCAAACATCGCCTTGCTGTTTTACTTGTTTTATATCAATTTATAGATTTTATCTGCTATTTTGAATCTATTGCTTTTTGTAATTAACCAATAAATTACCAGAGCTGCACATTTTAAAAAAAGAAATTAGAAATAGAGAAAAAAAATTCTCTCTCTCTTACTGAATTGGAAAAAATTAAAATCCCATTGTGAATAAAAAGTTGAATTAAGATACTCAGCATTTGGAGAAAAAAATGGAATGAAATATTTTTCTTAATGTATTAATGATACAGGATTCATATTTAATAATTAATTTTTAAAATCAAGGAATAATTTATTAACTTTTTGTGGATTTATTATTGTAAGTGAAAGAAATAAAAAATATTCAACAAAATATGCAAACTTTGAAAAACAATCATCATTATGTGAAAATATCCTTCTTTTAAATTTCTTGATTTCAAAAACAACTAAGTGAGTTCCAAAAACAATAATATGAATTTTTAATTTATTCATAATATTTATGATTAATGTTTTACAGCTTGTTGGGATCCAGATCCACATAATCGTCCAACTTTTGTTGATATTTTACATGATCTAGAAGAAATAGCTAGATCACCATTCATGAGTACTCCACAAGAATCTTTCCATACTCTTCAAGAAGATTGGAAGCATGAAATTGAAGAAATGTTCCATGAGCTTCGCTGTAAAGAAAAGGTATTTTTATTTAGTGTACTTAATTGCTTTTATATGCAATTCATGAAAAATATCAAAAAGATAACATTAAATCTTTATTAGTTTAAAAATTTTAAATAATCTTAGTAATATTACTAAGAATTTATGAATATTAAGATTATTTAAAATTCTTAGTAATATTACTAACAAATTATTGCATTTTTTTCTGTTTTTGCAAACCTAATTTTCTGCTGAAGTAGGTCCTTAATTCTTCTTCTCAAATCTTTCTAGCCACCAATTTAGCCACAGATCTTGATATATTCTCTAATAGTAACACTGCTTATCTGCTTAAAGTATTTTCCTCATAACAGAAATTATGTTTCAAAACAAATATCTAATTTAAAACAAGATCAATAAACCTTCAAAAATTATCTTGGAGAATTTTCTGTAAAATGTAGAAAGGTTGGTTCCTACTTTACTAAAAACCAAATGTTGTTAAGCAATCTTCTTCATTCTAATCTCAGTCTAATAGTTAGCTCTCTACTATCCTTCATTAGTCTTTTATTAATAGAATTTGTTAACTTTCCTTCAGTGTTTTAAATGAATAGAATACACTTCTTAACTTTTTAATATAGTAAAATCCACTTTGATAACAATATTTGTGATTATATGTCATTTAATGTTATCAGAATTAGCAAAACCTAAGCCATACAAATTAAAAGTACTTACTAAACTTTATTTGCATTAAGACAATGATGTTTATTACAGAGTTCAATTATAGTTATTTATTTTTAAGCTTTCTTTTTTGCCCCAATATATAGATGATAAAATGCAATCCGTTATAAACATTAATCATTTTAATTAAAAGAAATGACTGTCTATAATACAGTCATTTCTTTCTTCAACTATGCACTAGCTGTTGTTAATTAAAGATGCTATTGAAAGAAAACTGCATAAAACACTAGCTAATATACTATTAAAATTAGTAACAGTTATAATAAATTAATCTTGATTAAAACCATTAAAAATTGTATAACAATAAAATATAGAAAAATTAAATAATGTTTCTTCTGTTTTTGAGAATTTTAAGTATACTTATCTTCCAGTTTGACATTTCATTTTAATGTCAGTGTGAATAAAACCAAAATTTACATGAAATATATTTTTATTTACTTACCTCACTTATTCTTATCTACATTAATAACATGAAGTGGATTCTACTATATTAGTAGCATTGTTTAATTTTGTAAAAATTAAACAATGCTACTAATATAGCTATTTAAAAATTTCAGAAAAAATATTATTTTATTACAGTAGAGCGTCGTTTATCTGAATCAATTGGGGACTGGGGCTGTTCGGATAACTTATTTTTCGGATAACCAATTATGTACGGAAAAATATATTAATTTATCCCGTGTTGAAATTTTTCTCCGTTGCGTGTCGCTTTGCGTTGAATTTTCGTTGATGTTAAGCCTAACGAAGACTATTGTATCGTTAAAAATTATTTTTTTATTTTGTACAAACAAAATATATATATTGAAAAATATAAAAACAATAAAAAATTATACTTCAGATGTTAATTTAGTATCAAAAATGTAAAATATTTGAGTAGCCCAAGACATAGCCAAAGATTGAAGCGCCACAGCACTGGCGAAAATTTAAATTTGTCGACTGGAATTCCTTCGGATAACCGGTGTTTTCGGATAACCGACCTTCGGATAAATGACACTCTACTGTATTTGAGAAATTATGTAATACTATTTTTTCAAAATTTTTGATTTAAAGAAATTCTGCATGAATTTCAGAAACAAATTTAATAAATATCCTACTGCATTCAGAGAAAATAGATTAGATTGGTAAGTATATTATTCAGTGCTGAAATGGATGAAACTTATTTATTTGATTCCATCTTCTCTTTTTAAACATGTCATAAGTTTATTGAAAATTTTTTGTACCATAGTAGTTTTAAAAATTACAAAAAATCAAATTGTTATTAATTGTTTAAATTTGATCATTTACTGGTCAAGTCACATTAAAGATCACATAATAAAATTTAAATGGGAACACAGAATTAATGAGTAAATAGATAATGAAAATATAAATTTTATTCAGTTTCACTTTTACGTATTAATGAATTAAAGTACAGGTATACCTCGCCTTACGTCGGTAATTGGTTTTAGGAGAATGACGTAAGTCAAATTTACTTGTCTCCAAATCTACTTGTCACTAGGCTAAACCATAAATTGCCAATTCTGGTTCTGTATTTTATTTTATTTATTAATGCATTTTTAATAATGTATGGTTAATAAGGATCTATTTTAAGCTTACAAACAAATAAATTTTAGTTTTTAATTAATTAATATAGTACAGAAAAAAGTAATCTAAATTTACGAATGCATGTACTGTAAATACAGTACAGTACATACTTGTAAATGTATATATTTTAATATGATTTTATGTGCTTTAAACGCTTTTCTAGTGATATTACGACTTCAATATTTGTGGCGGACAGACGTAAAGTCGAATAAAATGACTTAAACTTGATTTTTATTTTTCCATATACTTTTTTGACAAACGACGTATAATCAGAAACGACGTAAGTCGAGGTATACCTGTATTTGTTTATCAGGTGTTGCACCAATTATTTAAGAAGTGTATGATTTTCTATATTTAAAATACATTACAACTTGTTCAATTTGGAATGTGAATAAAATGAAAACTTGTTTATTTTGAAAATTATTGGTCCTAGTAAAAATCTGTATATTAATTGAAAGAGAGATTTAGTTTGAGTAAGTGATAGGCTGAAAAGGGATTTGCAATGCTTCAATCATTATACCTTTCTCAACGTGGCAAATGAAGAATATTAAGTGTATGGGACAAACATATCAGGGTCCTACTCCCTATTAACTGAGTCATTTTTTTTTGTGTTTTACAGTTTTATTATTGTATATACTGAGGTCAATAAGTATATAATTTAGTTATTATAGCACTGTTTTTATCATCCTCTCCTAACTCAACATTATATCAATTCTCCACTCCCTCAAAACCTCAATCAATGCCAGCCACATACAGCTAATAAGCCTTTCTTTTAATATTTTGTTTTATACAAAATTAATACCTTAAAATATTAATCTTAAAGATGAATTTTTAATTTAGTAAATTCTTTAGAAAATATTTTATTTTGGTTTGAATATAATTTAATTTATTTTTATTTTATTGTCTTGTGGTGTTTAAAACACGAGCAGTTATTTATTGTGACATTGTCATAATCGCAGGCTGCAATTTTTAATAATTTTTATTTAAAATATATGCTCTCCACCTCAAATTAGTAATGGCTTGCCCTGTACATCATACTTTTCCTTTAACAATAGAATTGTGCAGGTCATTAACTGCTTTCAGGGGAACTTTTGAAACAATGTGACTTCCAGTTTGCATTGGAAGTTCGTATATAGTTAATTGGATCCCTTGTCCCTAAGGTTTCCATATCTGGCTTCATCTTTCATCTATCTAACTCCGTTCTCAACATTAAGGAAAGACAGGCGGATGACAGTGGGAATCTATAGGTCTACAATTTTTTCAAACTGCAGCCCAATAACAGTGTTCTACAATTCAATTCATACAAATGACTATTACTTCATAAATCATCAATATTTCTCTTCAGTTGCCAATGCTTAACTTTTTATTTTCTCATCTTATATGCTTTCTGCTCATGTTCTGTAGCAGCCATATTGGATTTGTCATCATAACAGAGTATGATGTCTCATAAAAACAAAATAATTGAAAGTTTGTTTTATTATTGTTTTTACTAAAAACATACTTATTATCATTTTAATTAATGGGATAAAATATGCATGAAGTACAAAATAGTTAAGAAAAAACAAGTTGCCTGCCAGACAACTTTGAAAGTATATTTCAGCAATTCTCAAAGTGGGCAATAACGCCCCCTTGTAGGTGATGAGTAAATCTAGGGGGCGCTGGAGGCAGGGTATTGAACGGTGACCAAAGGAAAAATTGGGGTCAGTGAAAGCTGTTCCCTTTCTTCTATTAAACTGATAAAAGGAAACATTGCATTTAATGGTTTCCAGATGTTGAGAACAATGTACGGTAAGGGCACAAAGTGCGAGATTCATAGAAAAGTTTTCCTAAGAATGTTTCCAATCCTTTCTCACACAAGAGAAAATGGGTTAGGAGGTGTTGGGTATAACTTTATGGAACAAAGGGGGCAGTAGATCGAAAAAGTTTGGGAATCACTGGTATATTTGATAGACCAAACAACTGCTAATTTTAAACGCTGATTTTACAGAAAAAATCTTGAAATTTGGTCCAGATTGGTCAAAGGGTTTGGGACTTTGTAGGGAAAATGAAATCAACTGAAAGGAATGAGGGGTTCTTGACATGGATGTATTTTGTGACAACTGTGACTTTCTTTTAGGCATTTTATCATCAATAAGACTCATAATACACCTGAAAAGTAACCAAAAGAACTGTAGATATCTGATAACATGAGACTGTCATTATTTAAAAATAAGAATTGTAGGATTAATACTAAAATAATGAACAGAAATATATTTTAAGCCTACTTACAAAAGTTTAGTTTCATATAAGGGAGGTAATTTCAATTCCTTACAGTTTCATCTGATAACAGTTTTATTATAAGAAATGAACAACCATGTTAAAACAATATAAACAAAGCATATACACAACTACCCAAACTGTACAAATCAAAACCAAAAATATAAGATAATAAGATTAGAAAAGCTCACCAGATGGAGAATGGGATTGACCTTGAATGGAACAGACAAATGATGATTGCAAGATAAATTCTGCAGTAAAAATATCTTTCTTGTGCATTTTTCTTTTTAATAAGAAAATACGATATGTTTAACTGGAAGGAATAAGCTTTCCAACAGCAAAAGAATTTTAAAAATCAGTTCAGTAGATTGAGGTTTCCTCCAGTAAGCAAACAAACATTCTTGCTTTATACAGGGTGTGGCAGAAAGAACGTTCTGATTTGGAATGATAGAAAGCAAGATATCAGGTATAAAAGATTTCTTTCGCTATCTTGCTTTGTATTATTTTTATTGTCGTTCCAAATCAGAACATTCTTTCTGTCACACCCTGTATATTAGAATAGATTACAAAATAATATAATCTGATATAACAAAATTTTTTTAAAGTAATTTTTATATGTTAAAATTAATTATATTAAGTAATAACAAATATGCATATAATGAAACAATTTCAAATAATTTCATATTTGTTATTATTTAATATAATTAATTTTAATTTTATGTTAATGTTAATTAATTAATTAATGTTAATTAATGTTTTATATACATACACTAGGTTGATTATAATTAAAATATCCCGTAAAGTATTCAATGCTGTTTAGTGATATTTAGCAGTCTAAATGCAATCAAAACTGACCTGGTGATATTTCAGAACATGCAAAAGACATTTTTGTAAAAAAAACTATTAAATACTGAAATTCATCATTAAGGCACTTTTGGCAGTGCAAGCAGTGAAAATGTAGTTTCTATTGCATAAGCACATGTGTTGCAACCAAGTTCTGGATGTAAAAGTGGTCACAACTGTTGAATGTCATTCTTATCAGCTTTGCCGGTCATCACCTTTGTCATGGAGGAATCGTGGCTCATCGAGATTGGTCAGAATCTGAACCAATGGGCGACATTCCATGTTTCAGTAAATTCGAATGGGCAGCGGACCTGGTAGAAAGCTACAAAAACAACGGGGAAGCTGATTGGTCAACCACCAGCCCACCAAAGTACATATATAGATCAGTTTAGGCGGGAAAGTTGAGTTTGCTTAAGGAAAGGTCTGGTTTTTGTCATATTCTGACGAACGAGTATCTTCATCTGGTCATTGACAAGTGGTGATTCCTGGAAGTGCCATCTCATCGTAACATGACTTTCTTGAACAGACTTTTACACGATAAGAACATTTTGTCAAGCATTTGCACTCTGGTTACAGATGCCATTTGTAGAACATTTTATCATTTAATTAATTACAAATTTGACTACCTTGATGGAACTACTCATTAATTGTGAAACTGTTCTACAAAAATACCAATGCTGTTGCTGCACATTGGAAATTTTGCTGTTATAAGAATTTACAGCAAGGATAACCAATTCTACAAGATTCCAGGAGAAAGATTATTCAGTTTGAGGAAACTAGAGATCTGGGTATTCAACCCAGTTAAGGGCACAAAATCTATAATTTCACAAGTCATTGAAGATGTTATCACAGCTGTTGTTGAACAATCAATGAATAATGTAGCAGGCTCTAGTAGTGCACATACATGTCATATAAATTGAGTATATTATGTGGTACAGTGTGAAAGATATTGAGAATGTTAGTGCATTGCTGTCCATATAAGATCAGTCACAATCAGCAGTTGATTCCATTGACAGGCAAACCCAACTGACTTTTGCACTGCCTTTCTTGCCAGAATGGAAGTGGATGTTTCATGGCTATGGAAGATCCTGTGGTGTGACAAGGCACATTTTTATCTTAGTAGAAGAAATAAACACCTGTAACTGTTGTATTTAGATCATGAAAACTTTCATATTTTCTAGCAGAATTCACTACACACACCTAAGTTGCAGTATGGATTCACAGTCACATTTTTCTTTGAAGAAGCTAGTTCCAATGGGCCTGTGACATCCCAGAGATACTGGAAGATGCTTAACATTTTTGTTGTATTCCAACTGTAACAATGACAATGCCTTGAGTGAATCATTTTCATGCAAAATGGAACACCTCTACATGTTGGACACTGTGTACAGTTAGTTAGTTTCTACTACAGTATGATAAGTCGTGCATTTCCTGACTGCATGACCACCTCAATTTTGGATCTTTGTGATGTTTAGTTATGGGGACACCTAAAAAGGTTGCAAATTTAGCTGCCTTGAAAGACAGTATCAACTGGATATGAGAACCATCATAGAGGATTAATTATGGTTGGTTGTTGAACACACTATTTGCCTTTGAGTGTTTTACATCTTCAGAATAGGGATCATGTTGAGCAATACCTCCTGCATAGCATGAAGTGTCCTGTTCAAATAAAATGTTTGTTGCTCACAGTACCATAATGATCAGTTTTCTTTAAAAAACAAAAAAATAGTATCAAATGTTTTCTACATTTTCATGTCTTGAAATGTCATGATACTAAATCTGGATTTGGATTGCTAAATATTTTTATAGACAGTGTTGAATAGGAATACCTTAAATATTATGTATACTGAGTGATCATAATTATGTATATTAATATATAGGATGCTTCAGTTGTTTATACCTTAATTATAAATACATGCATAAACTAATAACCTAGTTTCTATTATATATTTCCATAAATTAAGGCCATTTAAGTTCAACTTTTTCTCTGTAAATGTTCAGTTTGGTTTTATAAATGATGTATCCAATATATATTCTTTCTGAATTTGAGTTTTTTCCATATTTATCAAAACATATCTTAAGTCTGAATGTACTTAGCAGTATAACTCTGTCTCAGATCCTGTAGTGACCTGCTAGGAAGGAATATACATCATGCCTTAGTTAATCTATCAATACCTCTTGATTTTTATTTGTCAGAAATCGTCCAGCAGTTTTTAAGCTCATTAGATTTAGCACCATAGATTTAATGTAATATATGCATGTATACATAAAATATAACATATACAAGATATGTTATAATTTTAAATTGAGTATTTACCATTTTTATTTTATTATTATTAAACAGAATTAAATTTATGTAAACAGGAACTGCGATGCAGAGAAGAGGAACTTACTAAAGCATTGCTTCAACAAAAAATTCATGAAGAGTTTTTACGGAAAAGAGAGAAAGAATTAGCTGAACGAGAAATTGATCTTTTGCAACGAGAACTTAATGTAATATTTCTCCAACAGCAAGAAGGAAAACCTACACCAAAAAAACGAAAAGGAAAATTTAAAAAAAGTAGACTTAAATTAATAAAAGGTGCTCAATTAATCAGTATGCCTTCAGGTAAAAATTCTAAATATATAAATTTTTTTTAATTAAAATAATCAAGTAAAATATCATATTACTTCACTTCAGTGCAATATACAGAAGTCATATTATTTTATAAAAACAATTTGACTTCTACATTTTTATCTTATTGTGGATCAATGAGATTGTTATGGAGTCAGAAATTTATAGAAATTCACAAGTAAACTTAAATATTTGTAAAAAGTTATGAATATATAAGATTCTGAGAAAATTAAATTAACATGATTTTATTGTGTTTTAAATTACTTTTTATTTGCATATTTCTTTCACAAAATTAATAATGTTTCAGTTAAAAGATCTTTTATTTGCCACAAACAGCTAATCCTTGAAAATTGTAATGTAAAAACTTAAGATAAAACAAGATTTCCTGCCTTTTTAAAACTTACTGTCAATTATATGCAACAACAGATATAATTTGATAATGTTTGAACTATATTTTTGTAAATTTATAATTTTCTTGCTAAATACCTTAAATAGCTACAATTTTTTTAACTTGTAATTCTAGTATTTCATAGATACTTGCTGAATTATTTTCAATCAAATTCAGTTACAATAAAAATGAATACCATTTTTATTTAATAGATTAACATTATATACACAGTAAATGATAACTAAATGATTAATAATAGCAAGTCTATGACACTAAATCATTATGATATAATTTTGTTTAATAAAATATCAAAATCTCAATTAAAATGAAGCAAGCATTAAATTGAATGATATAACATAACCAAAATATATCATTCAAAAATATAAAATAACCAAAATATATTTTTCTTAGAGGATTAATTTTTGGTTAACTTAAAATTGGCCTTTTAAGACAAAATTTTATTCTAGAACAGAATAAATTTTTCAGAAAATAAGCCTCTAGTAAATTCTCAACATACCTTGTACTGTACAGGGTGGTCCAAAAGTCACTCTACCATTTAAAAATTAAATAACTTTTTTATTATTTTATTCTTTTCAGATTTTTAAAATACAGAACAACATGTAAAACTTACTGAGTTTTACTTTGAACATCAGTGCTCTATTGTTCTTACTCAGAGAGCATACATTGTGATTTCCGCTCAGATTTTTTTTACGGGGATATTTGAAACAGCAAGTGTTTATTAATAAGCCCCGAATTCTTGCTGAGCTGAAGGACAATATTCATCAGGAAATTTGAATGATAAGCAGAGTCACTTTGCAAGCAGTTATGGAAAGTGCCATAACTGCTTGAAAGAGCTTGCCTTTGTGAAGAGGAAAACAGGAGTCATTTAAAAGATATTATTTTTCATGTTTAGGCCCAAAAAAATCTCCAAGATGTGTACATTATAATGTTGAAATAACTTTTTTCTTAAAAAGAAATTTTTAATTATTTTATATTTTTAAATGGTAAAGTGACTTGTCATTCGTCATATCACATTAGGTTCAATAAGAAATTTTATGATTGTAGAAAGAAAAATTGAATTGTTTATGCAATTTTTGACATAAATTTCTGTAGATGAGTGATGTTAGTCATATTCATTCCTAACAATAGTTAATATGTTTATAACTAGAAATTTTATCAAAACTTTGCTACTACACAAATTTTGTATCAAGGAAGATGAAATTATAGATGCTTGTCCACCATTGTGGAATTTGTTTACAATACAAACAGTGAAAATACATCTATAAGTATGGCAAAATTGTATTGATTTTTTTTTTCTTTATCAAAAATAGTTTTTATAGGATAAAATTAATTTTTTAGAATATTTTTGATTACAAAATGTATCATATGTTTTTCAAAGAACAAAAAAATACATTTTGATTTACAATGTTTCTTTTGAAAGTAAAGCTTTATTATTATATGAGCAATGATAGTTATTATGCAGATATTAGATATTGTTTTACTAAGCACTTATTTTTATATAAGTCAATGAAGATTATAATGTTAAGCTCAAAGTCTGAAAGAGTTCATTGAGCAAAAACATTGGCCACAATGCAAACTTCATGTTGTTGCACTTTCAAAAATGCACAGCATAGCTTGTTTTTGGAATATTTAATAAGACCACAAAGTGAAATTTGTGTCAATATTCTTTTAACAATCAACAAAATGTGGTCTGGCAATGTGAACTGCCATAATGCATTGTGGATGCTTATTAATACAGAAATGGTTCAATTTGATAAAAATATCTGTGCAAAAATAAGTAACAGATTTCTTTATTATTGAGAATAAAATCAAATTCTAATTTGCATTGAGAATTAAACTAGAAATAAACAGCCTTATTAATCTTATGTTTAACTCGTAGGTCTTAAAGGTGTATGAGTTTGTCTTAGAAATTTATCATTATTTTTTACTAACAGTAATATAGAAATTTGTTTTGAGTTGTCTCTTTATAGGAGTGTCATTATTGAAAGAAATTTGAAATCAATTGACAAAGTGACTTACAAATAAATTTCTTAATTGACTGATAGAAATAATACTTTTTTAGGTATGTAGGATTTTAAAGTATCATATGTAGGTTTCAAGGATTCATAAACAAAACAATTAATAGCAAATTGTCTTCTTGACTGTGAATTATAAAAGAAAATAAAGAGTTACATTTATTTTACTATAGTTCTTTTAATCATATAATGTTTTGTGACAGGAACTGATGAGTCTTTTTCTAATAATAAACATTGTTCAGAAGTAATTCTTTGGTGGAAATTAAACAAGTTATTTATTAAAAATATCTGTGCAAAAATAAGACTGTTGATAATCTGTGCAACAAATTTTTGCACATATTTTTATCACATGGTGTCATGACTATTAATAAGCATCCACAATGTGTTGTGCATTTTCACATTGCATTTTGTTGATTATTAAAAAAATGTTGACATGAATTTCACTTAGTGGTTCTTATTAAATATTCCAAAACAAGCTGTGCATTTTTTTAAAGTGTCATGTCAGAAAATTTGCATTGTGGTTGATTTTTTTTTTCATTCACTGAGTGTTTTTGGTCTTTGAGCCTAACATGTATATAAATAAAATTTATTGAAATCTTATACTGAACTTGTTTACTTCTCATTGACATTACCCATATTTCTGTTTTTTAATTTTGTTATAAAGCATCTATATTTAACATTTTTATATAAAATATCATATAAATTACTTATTAATTTATAAAATTATATAGATTTTAGGCATAATATAACTGTTCAATCATCACCTGCAATATGGCCAGAAGTAAAAGGATTGCGAATGGCTACTAGTCCAGAAAGTCCACCAGCCTCACCAAATCTACCTCGTTTGCGAGCATATGCATGTAAATATAATAAGTGACTGTTTAAAACTTTATAAATTTATAAACATTTATATTTCTAATTTATTAAAATTCATGATGCATTTATTAATGAAAAAATTTGATAAATAAATATTTGTTTGTTAAATAGCATTTTTTAAATAATTTAATTGTTTTGAGATTTATATCACAATTAAAATTTGATACTTCAATGGAACCTGGTTAACTCAAAGTTGCATTTACAGTATTTTCATAAACTCTCCAGAATTTTAATTTTCTGTTGAATAAAATAATTAACAATTGAACAAATTAATCAGAAACTTTCTATAAAGTATGGGAATTATGTACAGATAAAAATAAATATCATGGTGAGCAGGGATGAAGGCTTCCAGATACTGTAACTGCCATTCAAACCTGCTTTTTTTCCAAATTTTTTTTTTTTTGTTTTATTTGATTGCTGATGGATTTCCTCAACTAGTTGACATAATAGATAAATGGGGTTTTTTTAAATTAATTTTTAAAAAAATGATTATAGTTTGATTCTGTGGCAAAATTTTAAAAAATATAATAACCATAAGAACTGTTTTTTTTATATTTTTTTTTTATTACAAAAAAAAACAGAATCGATTCGAGGTGCAAAATATTCTAATTAAAAAATCCTTACTAAACACTTAGGAGCAAATGGACCAACCATTTGGAAAAGCATTTTTGAGTTTCTGGGCAACACCGAGAGGTTTACATGGACAATAATTCTAAGTAATAAGATACACAGAAATATGATACGGATAGATTATTATAGATTACTGATGCACAAAATTTTGATTTTTAGCTGAACATCTAGCTCAAAACTTTTTAACTGAAAGTCTAAATTTTTAGAAAATAAGATTTAATTACCTTAAAAAATCTGTTTCAGTAAATTTTTGAAGAAAATTTGTATCAAAACAAATTTTATTCAAAAATTTACTGAAACAGATTTTTTTTTGAAGGAAACATTTTTAAAACTAATTAATTGTTTATATAAGTAAAAGAAATTAAAATTGATAAAATTGACATTTTTGTCCATTTCTTTAATTTTTTTGCAAAACATATTCATTGAATGTCAATTCTGATAACATTTAAACTATTTGTTTTAGATGAAGTTCTAAGATATATAACAGGGGTGGCCAACTTTTGTGTACATAAGATCTACTTTTTATCTTAAAAATATGTCATGATCAGCTCGTCATAGACATAGTCTAAGTCAGGAATGGGCGGCCCAAGTCGCATAAAATGTGTATAAATATATCAATTTCCTAGCTTAAGAAGTATGCAGCAAAAATTCAAATGTTACTTTCTACAACTTATGTATGTGAATAGTTTTTCCTGCAATGAATTTAGTAAAAATTAAAACAAGAAACCAACTAGCAGACTCATCTCGAAACTAATTTAAAACTAGCAGTGACTAATATTTAATCAAATATTTTTGATACATTACATTACATCAGTTCTAGAAGTTAAATTAAGTATACCTATTCTAATTTATAATTATATATGATTAAATAATTGTGATTTACCAGCATTTTCCCCCCCTCTTTTATCTTGTATGTGGCCTGCGTCAGTTCAAAAGTTTTGAAATGCGGCCTTTACACAGAAAAAGATTGCCCATCTCTGGTCTAAGTGGCAAAGGGGGGAGGTGTGAAATACATACTATGTTTAGATAGATAAGAAAAGCCACAATTTAATTTAAAACACAAAGAAAAGGTACTTACATTTTAAACAGAAGAAAAATTGTAACTCAATGTTGTCACTTTTGGGGACCACCACATCACCCTTGCTCTCTCTACCATGTCCCGACCTACTCTCTCTGTCACTTCTTTTTTTTTCTTTGGTTTTATGACCCTTTGTCTACATTTCTTATTCCCCTTTCACAACTGTATGCAAATGGATTGCACATGGACCAACAAAATGGATTGCACATGGACCAACATCTGAGGGAGAATGAGGAGGTCTGATATCACAGTTGCATTAGCGCATTACGTTCAGGCGTTGTGTTCGATTACAACTTACAAGTGTAACACATTAAGTCAAGACATCGCAAGCGATCAACCAAAATTGGTTTTGCGATTGACTTGTTGGCCACCCCTGATATATAAGAATAAAAAGTTCTATGATTTTTAAATCAGAGAACTTTTTCTTATATATGATCCATTTAATAGAATTATGTAAATTATCAATATTTTTTGCACTATTTACAAGTGATGCATGAATTAAGTTATCTTTAATTGTTATTAAGCTTATAAAGGATCCTTTTTGGAATTAATAGTGTTTTTTCAAATAGGATATGTAAACTGTTCTATATTCTAGTTAATATTAAATGTAACTTTCCATCATTTTTGTTCTAAGATAACCAAATTTTAAAGATATGAAGTAGATATCCATAAGGTAACAAAACATAAGCAATTAATTAATCACTTAATATACATATCATACATATAAATTATTAACTTTCTTCAGAGAAAGTTTAAGTACCATAAACAGTAAAGTTGATTAAATTATCTTTTCTGACGTGCTTTGTATTTGAAACTGTTTGCTTTTTATAATTGTTTAGAATTCTGTATCATCACAATTTATTTATAAATGTGATTTTGTAACATAATTTATTGAATATTTTAAAGTTTCTATGCTAAAAGTTAGGTAAATATTAGTTATCTTCATAAGAATCTAATTTTATATAAAATTTTTGTGCATTTAGTCCCTGCTGATGGTGTCAAAGGTAAAACATGGGGTCCTAGTTCTGTTCATCAGAAAGAAAGAGGTCATTCAAGAAGATTGCTTTCGGATGGTAATAAACGGTGGTCAAGGAGTGCTCCTAACTTAGAAAAACCTCAGAGTCCGTTCCATACAGCATCAAGTATCGGAGCCTTGCATGAATATGGTATATAAAAATTACATAATTTATACTTAGTCATCATAAAATATTAATTTGATGAATTCATGATAAATGTAAATGTAATGTTTGATTTGAGGGTAAAAACTTTTTTCTTATTTTTAACAATTCACTACATTGCTTTTAAGTAATCTTGATTTATATTAAATAAAATATAATTTTATTTCATAGAGCATTTTAAGGTATTAATGTTTAAGTGATAGTGAATCTTAGTTGCTCAGTTTCAAATTTTCATGGAGTATTAATAATTAAAATTAATTAATACTACATTTATTATAATAAAATTATTTGATTACAAAACCTTGTAGTGAATTTATTAAAAGAAAGAAAAAAAAAAAATGAACATTTCCATGTCATTAATACAAATTAATTATTTTAAATGGGTAAAATAATCTTTCTATGTTAATATTTTATTTTTTATATTACTTTATGTTTTCATATACTACTTTAAACTAAGACACAACTTTTTATTATATAGTTCTATGATTCTGCATCTTTTTCATATGAAGAAGAATATTTTTTGAAATTATAAATATGGACTTTAATTGAATAAAACTTGATAATAGCTCTAATATTTGTCATTTTTTATAATAAAGGTTAAAATAATTTCAAAAAATATTCAGAAATCATGACATTGGATGCATGTCAAAAGGTTGTATGTCCAATTTTGAACAGTTTTACAGAAAAGTCTGAAGAAAGTTTGAGACTGCATAAAAAAATAATAGGTCAATATAACAAATTTATTTATGTTATATTGACCTGATTTCTTCTCTTCATAGGAGATTTTCATTGAAAATCTTTGTTGTTTCTGTTTATTCACTTGTCAGTTAGAAGAAAAGTAACATACAACCTTGTGGTTGTATGTTACTTTTCTTCTAACTGTAAGGACTTGATGATATAATCATAATCAGCAAAATAAAATAATCTAGATCATATTATTGTTAAAATAATACCAATATTATTGTTAAAATACCAATATGTAATTGAGTAATTTGCAACATGATTTTTGAAGAAAATTTTTGTTGTTATTATCATATTATTATTTATATTAGCAGTTTTTTTGAACTCTCAGAAATGATAACCCAGAAAAATCTGTAGAGGAATGTTGTCAGCATCAAACATATTAATACAGTAATGTCTGTAATACTCCTTAATCTAATAAACTACCATACAGATCTTTATAAAGCATATGATTTAGGATTCTGGCCTTGACTCTTACTTTTTATTAATTCATTCTTGAAAAAAATTTTTTTTTCCTTTTTGCAAAGTCCAATAAAATTCATCATAAAATGATTCACTTTATTTTATCAAAAACAAAAATCAGCAAATACTTTAAAATTAAATATTAATTCTTTTATAACAGCAATGCCTGGAAGTTTTGACTACTGATGCTGAATGAAAAAATAAATTAAGTGGATAAAACCACTGAATGCTGAGTTCATGCCTGACAAATAGGCAGGCTGCATGAATTTTTTGGATTATATATACATGTCTAACATCTAAATATGGGCTAGTCTTCATAGAAAAATCTCCTGGCAATGCAACACCTGAGTCATGCCAGGAGAGCTCTCCATCAATTCATCCAAAAAATTAAAAATGGACTCACATAGTTCTTGTGGTTCTCCTCAATTTCTATTTATATTTACAACCAACCTGGTTGCAAAGATTCTGTCCAAGTTTCCATCTACAATAATTTCCCAAATATTGAATTTAAAATAACTTTTATTTTGTTTTTATATATATGCAAGTAATTTGCAGGGCACAACTAGTATACAAAATTCTGAAACAGGATATGAATAATGGTTAATTTATTTTAGAGTATATAGGAGCATAGACCTAGTCACTAAATGATAATTGAACATAATCCCTATCAAAAGTTGGGTCTAAGACATATTACCAGATTTAAAGTTGCAACAGATTTGAACATCAGAATAATTTTGAATAAAATAAAACTACTTGAATAGATCCATGCCAGAGAGAATATGTTAATACTTCTGTAAATATAAAGCAATGTAAAAGTTTTTCTGAAGTCTGAAAAAAACGTAAGATGCAATATCACTTCTGCAATGCATGAAATTGTTAAATTTATGAATATTGTTGTTTTATTTTATTTTTTTGTCACTTTCTATTAGTTTGATATTTGTTTTCAATTACTAGGTAACATTTTTTTAATCATAATTTCATCTCATATTTTTATATCAATTTTTTTATTTTGCAGAGTTTATTTATTTATTTTTTTCAGAGGTTGAAAACATCTTCAAAATCAAAAAATATTTCTGATATAAAACAAAATGTATAATTACAGTAGAGCTTTGATTAACCAAAAGCGATCCAGTCGGCAAATTCAAATTTCTGCTAGTGCTGTGGCATTGCAATATTTGGCTATGTCTTGGGCTACTCCAATATTATTTTTGTTGGTGTGCGTGTTTTAGCTGGCAGCACTGGCACAACTATATTGTATCATTAAAAATTATTTATTTTGCACAAACAAAATAAATATATTGAAAAATATAAAAACAAAAAAAAATTATATTTCAGAAGTTAATCTAGTATCAAAAACGTTCTGATTCAGCACGACATATGTCGAGAGGGTACTTAAGGATATGCCAGTATTTGAATGAGGCTTTTTCCCCCCATTGTGGTTATTTTTGTTTCAGCTTGTTGGAGAATATAGCCCAAGCGGCTGACATCTGCATATAAACCTAAGAAAATGAAAGAGTTTTGCTTGTTTTGTGTGGTGTTTTTCTGAGGACTGTGTTGTTGGGACGTGTGTCATGCAATCAGAACATTTTTGATACTAGATTAACTTCCAAAATATAATTTTTTTTGCTTTTATATTTTTCAATATATTTATTTTGTTTGTGCAAAATAATGAAATAATTTTTAACAATACAATAGCCACGATTATTATTTTAAAAAAATTTTTGTTAGGCTTAACATTGATGAAAATTCAATGCAAAGAGACATGCAACGGAGAAAAATTTCAACGTGGGATAGGTTAATATATTTTTTCATACATGATCAATTATTCAAATAACCCCAGTCTCAAATTGTTTTGGATAATCGATGCTCTACTGTACTTTGTTTTTTGCTTCAGGATGAATCATATTGTGGTGTGATTTTTGTTAAAGTATTTTAATAAGTAAAGATAAAACATTTAAAGTTATTGTTAATTAATACATTATCATCAGAAAGTAAACATGAAATGACTATTAGTAAGTAAACTAAATATTAAAATATTTTTACTGTTTTTCATAATGATATGGTTCATTTTTTGTACCATATTTTTGCGGAATGACTGGCATAAAAATGGGGGAGACCAGCATGCTGGCAACCCAGGGTTTCTGACATGCCAGTTAAACTGTGACTAAAATATAAAATTAATCAAATCTAACAAAACTAGTTGTTAATTAAACATCAAATAAACATTCTTCTGAGTACAATAAAATAATAATAATGTAATTTGATTGACTTAAAGTCAAGAAGAGAGTTTTCGTTTACAAGACAATAAAACAATTAACGACTTATTGACAATAGCAGTAGTAGTAGTTAGTCAGCGATAAAATACATATAAAAAGGCACTTTTGGAATTCCACAAGTATTTTACATCATTAGAAAGAAGACGAAATTAAATATATAATCCTAATTTCTGATGTAGTACTGACAGTTTCACAGTTTTAGAATAAAAACTTGTTTTTTTTTAATATGCCTTCTAGAGATGGATATATATAATTTCGCTTAAACTAGAATGCCGGCTTTTACCGTACTGAAATATCTGATTTAATAGTCTCCCCAGATAGACAGGCATGCTAGTCATTGTGTGAAAATACAGTATGTGTTGATACTTGGAGACAATAATTAAAATATTTAAAATAGCTGTAATATTTATATTTGCCAAAATAAATTTTCAACAGCATTATATGTGTAATTTTAAATGTGTTGCTAAATTTTAAATCTATTATCCTTCTCTATACTATCACTGCAATTATTGAAAATATTGTCATATTCTCACACATTTAAAACTTTTAATTTAGTAAATTATCATGAATATAATGAAATAAAATTATAAATATTATATAAGGTTATGGTACAGTAGAGCATCGATTATCCGACTCAATTGGGGACTGGGGTTGGTCGGATAACTGAAAAGTATGAAAAAATACATTATTAGTATAGTATATTAGTATATTCTATATAATTAGCATATCGCTATTAACCTACTTTGTGTTGAATTTCATCAATGTTAAGCCTAACAAATTTTTAAAAAATAATAATCGTTGCTATTGTATCGTTAAAAATTCTTTTTAAATTATTTATTGCTCACGAAACAAGCAACCACTTAGAATAAGAAAATTAAGCCTCGTTTAAATACTGGCTTCCCTTTCATGGTCGAGCTAGTGTTGCCAGCTAAAACATGTAAAAATAATATTAAAGTAGCCAAGACAGCCAAATTGTAGCGTCACATCACTAGCAAACATTTGAATTTGCCAACTAGAATGCGGTCGGTTAACCGATGTGACAGTTGATCAGGGGTCGGATAATCGATGCTCTACTGTATTACATTATTTTTCATCTATATTATCTTATATAAATATAAAAATACTTTCAAATATTTATATAAGATAATATAGATGAAAAATAATGTAATACAGTAGAGCATCGATTATCCGACCCCTGATCAACTGTCACATCGGTTAACCGACCGCATTCTAGTTGGCAATTAAAAC